CCAAACAAATCAGAATGACCACTACAAGAGGAATGATTTTCTTATGTACTGAAGTGAAAATTCTTGCAGAGAAATAAAAATATTTAACAAAATCAGTATAGGGCACCAAACGTATAAATACTAGATACTGAACCAACACGTAAACCACAGAAAGAATATAGAATACAGAAAGACATTTATCACCCTGACACACATCCCCAAAATGGAAAAAATAAGGCAAAAGTGAGTCAGTGTAGGGAAGCCACTCAAATGATCTTTGCCAAAATGGGCAAGTTTTGTAGCCTCCATGGCTCTGCTATTCTGGTGGTTTTCTGACCTGTGTTCATCTTTTGGAGTTCAAAGTTTGAAAATTAAATTCAGTAGGCATGTTCCTGATACGCAAAAAAGGTTCAGAAGAGTTTATTTAGTTGAATAAAGAAACTACCACTAAAAAGACTCAGCCTAAATTCCAGAGATGTGTTGCTCTATTGTGGCTAACTCACAGACTTTTAATGAAGTCTCTTGCTCCCTATGCTCACATTTTTCTCAGACAGGTGACAAGGTGGCCATCTTCCTAAGGAAAGCAGCATTTATGGAAGTGCTAATCAGAAAGAAAGATGCAAGTAATTCTTAACTGCTGGCTTATAAACAAGATCTGATGGACCAAACAGCCCAAGAACAGGCTGGACAACACAAGGGGAAGGTATATGGCTAAAAAAAAAAAAAATACTTCAACATTCTGAATTTTTGGTATCAACTGGCTAAACTTTGAAGAACATTTCCTCCTTTTGCTAAGCAATAGGAAAAATAGAGGCTTCCATGTGGTTTACCTCACATAGACTAGATATAGTTTTAAATACTTCTAATATATTTATTTCAGTTTCCTCGATGATGTTCACTGCTTATCCACACAGTTACTTACACAGCCTGATGGGTGATGGAAACTTCTCCCTATGTATTTTTAATTACACAAAAATCACCACAGGAGACATGATGGACCAGGTGAGATGCCACCTGCCTACCAGCATCTCTGCAGAAACTGAACTCCCTAGAAATAGAATTGCACTTTCATTCCTCCTGCCATGTCAATATGGATAGTTTCTAGCAGAAAGGGTTTAGTGTGGATACACATGTTCTTATGGTTCTGGAGTATCTTCAGCTAAGTCCTCTGCCATCCACAGCTGTCAAGTACCCATTGTACTGCTTCAGTAGTTATTTCTTCAGAATTAGGACAGACACGATCATCACGTGCCTGCATATGTGAAAGCAGCAAATAAAGATGCTTCCCTAGACCCCTTCAGTAAAGCAACAAACATACAGATTTTCAGAAGAACACTGATGCATGCAGGGGAAACAGAAAAATAGTATCACATTGTTCTTAGTAGCTGACTTAGCATATCAATCATTACTATGAATCAAAACCAATCAATCTCAGAAACAGTTTTCTCAGAAACCTTTAACCCCTATGCAATATGTATTACTGGCAATCTATTAAAGATAAACGAACAGAGGGTTGCTAGCTAGAACTCTCATTAAGCAGGAATCTTCACCTCCTAGGAAAGCAGAAAAATACATTTAAGAATGCATTCATCAAAGCTTCACTTAAGTCTATGATAATAGGATCTTGTTCAAAGTAAAGATTTAATTAATCAAGCTGCACTGCCTATGGACAACATGTATTAAACTATCTGAAGCACCTCTAATATTTTTTAATTATTTTTTTTTTAGATCTTAAGAGAAAAGGGGTGATTCTTCTAATTCATAATATTATGTAAATCCAGAACAGCTATGATCAATAACAGACAATTTATGTGCCAAGGGAAAAAATGCTGAATTTGAAGTATCTAGAGCATGAGATACAAGTGAAAAGGTTTAGCTCTCAGCTTGATTTTTCCTGTATTTTGTCTACGTGAAGCCTCTGAACTTCATATTGTATTCCTTTTTTTTTGTTTTTTAGCATGTCCATTAGTTTTGGTTACTAACCTTGAACTCACATACATGTAGCAACATGGTGTTTATTTTCCCAGGCAATGCAAGTTTTCTAGACTTATGTTTTTCATGATTTTGCATGCCATACACATTACCACACACAGACACAATCTAAAGCCAAGCAAGAAAACCACTGCAAATGACTAGCCACACAGGCCTGTTAAAAATAAAAAACAAGCAGCTGAACAGAAGATTCCATTTCTTTTTATCCTCATGATTTTTCTGCTGCCTCTAGTGCTAATAAGCACTGCTTATAAAAAGAAGTGTTGTCTACATTTCAAAGATGCACTTGCAAATTCCTCATGTTGAAGGCTTTTTAAGTTTAGAACATAAACACTGCATATGACTGTAGCTTAAAAAGGTATCAAAAAAGTCAGAAGCCAGCTCCTGGATGAATTAAAATTCATTCAAATCTCATACAAAAAGCGTTCAGGTTTCTCATTTGTCTTGCTATTTAGATAGATGACACAAACTTCAGCCTCAAAATTACTAGTACTCCCTTTAAAGTGTTATGGAGTACTTACATTACCACAGAGTAACCAAAATTTTCAGATTCATAAAATGTTTTATATCTTCAAAAATCCACACCAAATTTCCCTGCCCCCAAATAATAAGGCCATGGTGGATTGCAAGATTTTCACCTTTGGCATCCATGATGCCACCACATCCAGTATCATAAAATCTATTTTAATGCAGTAGCTTCCATGTTTTTAAATACATTAGGGCAATTCTATTAAATATAAAAATAAATAAAATAAAACAAACAAACAAACACCAAAAAACAAACACACACAAAGCCCACCAGAATGCACTCCCTTCCCAACAGATACAAAATTACAAATTTGTCATAAACAAGAGACTGAGAATTACATCAAAAACTCAGGAAAATTGTGAAAAGGATTTTATATTAAGTAACCAAACAGGGTTATACTAAAAAGTTTTGGTATGTCTCCCTCTTAACACACCAAAACGATCTTTTCTATATATCTAGATGTACCAAATAGCCTTCCCAGCATTCCTGTATTTTTTTAACTGAAGACCTAATCTGTAAATACTTTTGACAGCCTTCCAGTAGGTTGGCCTTGCATCTGTTAAAAGACAGCATAGTAGCCAGAAAGTTTGCTACTTAAAGTAAAGATAATGCACTAATGTAAAACAGAAGTATCATTTTAAGCTATAACTAGAAATGTCCAAAATGTCCAAATAAATTAATTACACTACCCAGCCAACCTTGAACCACCATTACTTTGTCGAAATCAGTTTGACCTAAAAGCTCATTGATATATCAATCTCAGATATTTTCCAAGGAAGGCACGCTGTCTTTCACTAGGGTTTACATTTCTCTCGTTAAACATCCACAACATTCATCTAAGGTGCATTACAATACCAAATGTTCTGCTTCTGCAGAGTTTTTTGTGATCATCCATTATTATTCACTGGACACTTAATTCTTCTGCACAAACACACACAAATGCACAGAATTCAGTAGTAACTGTTGTCCTTCCCTCCTGAACAGCACTTCTGGGCAGTCTATCCTGCCCCTTCCCCCCACAGCATTAGAGACAAAAGGTAAATACGCACCTCACTTTTGGTTTGGCTGCACATAGAGAATAAACACATTCTATGTCACCATCACTTTCTGGGAAGAATAGACATCATGTGCTTGCTCCCAACATGGGCTGCAAAGGCAGGTGCAGCTGGTTCAGATTTAACAGCAATGCAGCAGAACCTGGAGTACTATGCCTGGAATATTTTGCAAGCAAGTTGTTTGGGACCCCATGGGCCACAGCTGCAGAGCAGACACAAAACTGCAGCCACTTGGGTGTACTCTTGTCAGCTGGTGTAACGTGACACAAGTCAAAGACAAGAAAAACGCTACATGGCTGATCTACCCTACACCCACATCAGCTCACTCTTAATGTGTGCAGAGTCAGGCAAACATTGCTCTTCTAGTTCCTCAGCAGCTATGAAAACAGCCAGATCTGCAATGCACTCTCTACACTAAACTGCAGTTCCACAGCCCAAAAAATCTACAACAGGAGAAAGAAAAAGATGGAGTGTTCCATCCTAGACCCACAGCCCCATCTCTCTTAAAGAGGAGATTTATGACGGCAGTAAAACAAGTCTTGATAGACTACTCCCACTGACTCTGATCCTTACAGAGAGCAGATTCAGTGCTGCACTGAGCACGACTGTGATTCAGGCAATCACTGTTATCAAATTGCTTCTCTGAAAAAAACAAATAAACAAATAAATAAACAAAATAAAATTAAAAAAAAATAAAAACCCAGAAAATCAGGACGCCTTTCTTTTCACGAAACCAGAACGTGATGGTAGCAGATGTCATCTTTCCCCCAGCCCAGGGGTGGAGAGCACGCTCCACGGGGAGGATGGGGAGATCCAGGCCCCGTTGGGCTTCCTGCAGCAAACCGGGACGCGGCCGCAGATCCCGGCAGAATCTCCCGACGGAACGGGCTGCTGAGACCGTCCTGCTGCGACAGCGACCACTCGATCGCCGGATGCGAAATCCCCACACGTCCACCCTACCCCACCCCCCGCCCCCCCCCATTTTTCCTTTCCACCATAGAAAAGGTGCGCACGGAAAAAAAATACCTAAAAAATAAAAAACATCAAACCAGTGCACTGGGGTATGCACGGCTCCACACAGCATTATTCTACACCCATCCCACCTCCACCATATAAAATAATGGAATAAACAAACGGAGGGCGAGCACGCAATGCCCCGCCGGAGGCTGGGATGGAGGCGGTCATGGCCGCGTTGGCGCCGCTCCCCGCAGCCCGGGGCAGGTGCAGAGCTGCCCCGCTGGCTCGGAGATGCGCGCACGCCCACGCAGCCGGACAGGGGCCGCCGCAGCGCCCGCACCCCGCTGCGGGCAGGAGCCGCCGGGCGGGACAGGGCCGGCATCCCGCGCCGGGAACCCACCCGCGGGCCCGCTGCCTCCCCGACACCGGCGCCCCGGCGAGGGCGCGGCTGGACCCCCCTCCCGCTCCCGGCCGCGACCACTCCGCACCTGGTGCGGGTCCGCGCCGCCTCCTCAGCAGGCAGGGCGGCTCCGGCGGGGGCGGCGGTGCAGCGCAGGGCGGAAAGCCCAGCAGCCGGCCGCTCCTCCCGCGGCCACCATCTTCCACCTCCTCCTCCTCCTCCTCCTCCTGCCGCCGCCAGCACCGCCAGCGCCGGCCCCTCCCGCCGCACCGCCCTCACGCGTCAGCGCGCCCGCTCCCTCCCTCCCGCTGCCTCCAGGCGGGAGCGGGGCCCGACGGGCGTGGGCGCGGCTCGTCAGCTGCCGGGGGCTCCCGGCGCGGCCGAGGCTCTGCGGGCGGCGCGGGCCTGGCCCCTCACACACCCGGAGCTCTCCGGACCGGCGGCCGGTGCCTGGGCAGCTCGGAGCGAGGGAGGCCCTGCAGGACACCGAGCTGTCCGTCTCACCTTTCCTGGGCACGGAGCACGCAGCCTCGGTGGCCCAGGAGGGAGGAGGCTCCCACCGCCGAGGAGGTGTGAGGGTGGGTGTGCCGAGGCACCGCATCCGCATGGCAGCTGCCAGCGGGCCCTGGGCGTCCTCCACACCTGGGGGGAAGCTGCGAAGACCGAGGTGCAGCACACTTAACCAAATTGCGATCGCAACCTGCAGGGAGGATTACTGCCACGCTAAAAAGAGCTTGTCAGTGCCTCTTTCCCAAAATACTTGCTCCCGTGTTCACATACACACACACCGTTGGCCCTTCGCTTGCGTCTATAGCCCGGCTGTAAACTTTGTCACATCTCCAAGCCCCTGCTCCCTGCACTTAACTGCCTCAGTGATTCCACACATACAAACAAAATCCTAAATTCCTTAAGATAGTGTTTTGCATTTTATGGTATTTAAAGAAAATAAACTATCAGAATAAATACACCTTTTTTTCGTCAGAGACAGATTGATACCTAATCCGTTTTTCATTTTAAAAGAGGCCAGGGGACTTTAAAAAGCCTAAAAACTCATGAAAAAATGCAGTATTGGCGACCTAAATTGGTACATTTTGACAGTATTGTTAATTTAACTCTTCAGGGAATATGTTAAACATCTGTGAAATGTTTAGGCAAACCCCACTGTAAACTATCATAAATAATCTATGTATTAAGGCTTCTAACTAATTACTATGATGACTTGGTATTAGTTTGGATTTAAAATTTGGTTTTCCCCTTCTGGTGAGTAGAGACTTTTTGTTTCTTGGTAACAACACCTATTCTCCTGTTATGATATAGTTCAGTCACTTTGTATTGCACAGCTGCATTTTTAAATGCCCAATGCCAAAATGCCACAGTATTCTCCAAAGGAAGACTTTGAAAATGAGACTATGAAAAAAAAAAATGTTGAAAAGAATGGAGAAGTTAAGGAAACACAACTAATTTATTCTTTAGACAACTGCTACCAAAGTCCCTTCCTCTGTTTTTGCAACACCTCATTTCTTTCCCTCCTATGCTAATTGTTTCTATTCATTACTGTTTTTCTATCATTTTCTTTAGGAACCTAACATTTGTAACAAAAATAAATGAGCCATGGGGGCCATGTCTGTTCCCTTCTTTGCTGTGTCCTGCTTACATGGCCCTGGAATATCCCCGGGTTACCAAGACTTAAGGTGTATAGAATATTCATGACAGATTTCCAAAACTATCCATTCTTGGAGAGTTACATTAGATAAAACACTTCGCTTGAAATCAAGTTCCTTCCCCTTGTTCTTCCTCTCAAAAATAATGAAGCAGTTGGTCCTGAATGTAATCTGAATTTGTCCTTCTCTAAGAGGGAGGTTTGCCCAGGTGACCTCTAGGGGTCCTCCCCGACCCGCGTTTTTCTGTTACATTTCTGTCATTTAAAAGGATTAACAATAGCAGTCTCAATGACTGCTAAATTACATCCTAGAAAAGTTTCATGTCCTAAACGCATTTTTCTCCCAGGGCTCCACTTACCGCATGTGTTTCACAGCTCACAGTGACAGGTCTTCTAACACATAAGTTGTCTGCAAACTTGAAGAGACAGACACTGCTAATATGCAACAGTATTAGTATTGCTAATGCTGCATTAGCATTGACCTTCAGGCTCTTACTTGTTCTCACCATCATCATTATTTAGTCAAATTTCAATATAGAAAATTAAAGCCGACTTAAAAACCAATAGGAAAAGCACCAAGACTAATCTGTAACATTTATAAAATCAAGTAGCGCTGCAGATGAATCAATACTGTCTGCTGGATATTAAATTAAAACCTTCTGAGGGTGACAGTTTTTTAAGTAGCTGTGGTAATCAGTGACAAATACATATCAGCCAGCTTCTAGCATATTCACACAATCTTGCTAGGTAAAAAGTGCTATTTACACTGAACCAATTTTTTCATTGTTGGGGGCAGGGGGGAGGGAGGAGAGGGAGGGGGGTGTTGCTATTTTTATGCCCATTAGCCTAGATAAAAGCTTTGGCCGTGGCAGTTCAGATACATTTTTCCTACATTACTCTACTGATCTAGTCAGTTTCTACGTGTTTTCAGGAACTGGACATTGCAATTATCTTAGGTGTGTATTACTTGTTATTTTCAGGCTTGGGCCGAAAGCAAAACAGCTCTCACAGTCTAAAAAGACCAGTGCAAGCTTGACATTTTTAAGATCAGATAGCTCAAGACTCAGAAGTGACAGAAATGAATGTTTTCTACATTGGAAGCATTCAATTTCTACATTCATAATGTCTGAAAGCTTAGGATTACAGCTTTCATTTCCCAAAAAGCATTAATCACTGACTCCAGTGGTCTGTTACTAGAAGAGAGTAGGCTGTTTCAGAGGTGCTTGCTGGTACTGAAATAGGTGGGTTTCAGAAATCGAAATGTTTCCAAATTCTGGTATTGGACCAATTAACTAAAGGAAGGCAGTTTTATGAATAGTATCTTCCAAATTCAACCATCTTCTTTACTAGCTTCTTGGTCTGAAATAGCTAAGCCAATAGCATGAAATCAAAGTATGGTTTTCAAGCATAAAAATCCAATTTTGTCAACTGTTCTGACTTCCCATACAAAATTTCATTGTGCCTTCATCCAGTCTGTCTGTAACTCCTTAGCAGCATAAGAAACACTTAGGTTTCACAGGCAGTTTCCTTCATAAAATAATTTTCTATATTAGAGAATGATACCTTAATATACCTCCAAGCACTTCTGCAATCTCCATGTGCACAAGGAGGACGTTCTTCTTTATCACTTAGATGTAGTCTTTAGATAGTATTGGAAGAAATCAAACACTTTATTCTGTAAATACTACTTCTGTGTTATTGTTGATTATATTATATGGCACATGAATAATATAGCATCTAATTAATTTGGACTAAATACCACTTTAAGTCTTCTAGCACTGTTTCAAACATTAGTCACTGTTCCCAAAAAATTAGTTAATTCTATAATGAAGTGATTAGATTTTTTTTTCTGATAAGAAGTGTTGATCACTTCAGCAACAAGCCAAATGGTGTCCTCACTTGTAGGCTGATTCATGGAGTCAGGTACTTTTGAATGTAGTGCCATAGAAATCAGTTATGTGATCAGCCCAACTGCTTGGCAAAACCAAGCCAGAAGTAGGGTCAGGTCCAGTTTTTTGACCCATAGTGTCATGGTTTAGGAATGGTATTCCCCAATTTAGTGTTGGCACTGAAACATTACAAACCATGCACCACCCATTCACTCCCCTGCCCCTTCTCTTCCCCTCATCCCTGCAACAAGTTAGAGAGGAGAACTAGGCGTACAAAAGGCAAGGATCACGGGTTGAGATAAGAACCATTTACGGGAAGCAGCAGTGAGATAATAAACGAACCGAACCGTAACAGCAACAAGAGAGGCAAAGGATTCACATGGGCTCTCCACACAAACACATTACCCTTTACCACTTGCTTCCCACTGCTGCCCCTGTGCACGGCCTGAGGTAGTATAGAATAACCCATAGGTCTTGGTCGTGCACCTCCTGGCTACTGCAAAAACTAACCCTGTCCTGGCTGGAATCAGGACACAGGGCCCTCTGCCTGTAATTTCACATTTCAAAGTAATGATTTGGCACTACTGTCCTTCTGATTTTGGATTTCAGCAAGTGTTCAGCCTCAGTTGAGACACTTTCACGGTTAACCCAAAGAGGTCCAAGAGAGAGCAAAGGAGACACATGCAGCCAAGGATCCTTGGAAGCATAAGCTCCTTTCCACTAACAAACGGAATCCAGCATCACTTGCATATGGGGACTTTCAGAAAATTCTGCAAGTCTTGTTATTTTGAGGTGATGTTTGTGACAGGTATCAGGTGCAATGTTTTACCATTTGCTCTTTGAAGCACCTAAATATCACAATATTAGCCATATTATGCAAAAAATATATCCATTAAATCAGACCTGCTGTCTGAACACTTTGCAACTTTTACCTTAAGCCTCACCACACTGCCTGGCAGTATGGAAGTGCTCCCTTCAAAATCATTTGAAAGAGAAGTTCCAGTAAAACTGAATTTTTTAATTTTTTTTTTTTTCAAATGGACAGTAATTGTATGTGATCCCTTTTCATGTGTCAGTCTCATAATACTGTGATACCTTGCTGATGAGAATGCAGTAGGAACACAAAACAAGTCTGAGGTAGTCGGTGTGTTGGTCAAAGTTCAGTGAATACAAAAAAACAGATCTAAAAACCCAACCCAGCTTATCTTACTCCAAGTCAATGAGAAAATCATTCAGCCAGCAGCTTGTATTCAGACCAAGGGAGCAAACGTAAGAAAAAAAAAGTCAAGTGTTTTTACTCAAATGCAAAGCAAGTGAAATAAACAAGGTTTAACAGGGTCAACACAAGAGGTGCTGTCATAGCAGTCAGAGGTATCTGTGCGGTTTGAATGACAAGTAAAACTGGATAATAAAGCCTTGTGGAAAATTAAAATAACCTTCATGTTCTCTGAGAAAACTACAGGAACAGACTAAATGAAAACAATGGTCTGTACAGTCTCATGTGTACACTTGTATTTACTTGCATTCAAATAATAAGAGCTATTAATATATCTGCAGTCTGGTTTTTAAGGCGATGGTGAAGCATAGCAATAAATGGACTTCTG